TTGGCAAAATTAGTTTCTCTTTCCCAGTGAATACAGTTGTAAGACTTTGTATCTTGCATGACAAAATGGCAAATGGATCTACATTACTGTCTAAACACTTGTACATGGATAGCTTGTGTGGGTAAGAGTCAGCCACTGCTAAAGTTAAGAGTTTTTATAGCATATGGATCAGGTGACAATAAAACTGCAGTTTAAGTTTGTTTGTTTTTTAAACATTTCTTTTTAAACAACGGAATTAAACTTAGATAACATAAAAATTCAAATTATAATATATATTATAATGTTAATTTCATTAACATATATGGGTAGTAAAGTTGTTTTATTAAATTTTGAATGTAACTCAGTTCCATATGCAGAAAGGAATTTAAAAATGGCTCTGGGGGCAATGGCATTAAGTGAATGATGATATATTTTATTCACATTAATTTGCTCTAACAAACTGAATAAAATGGGTACATCATAAAGTACATAACTGCTGATAGTTAGAAAGTAATTGTCTTTTTCATGGTGGAGGAATTACTCTTACCCACAGCATATTTTCCATATGTTGAAATTCTGTTAAACAACTTCTCAAAATGCTTGTTAGTGCATTTATTTGTCAATCCAGGAACACCAAGCATTTATTTATAAACTTAATCTTTATTTATGAGAGACAATAATTACTTTTTACATAACACTTTCCACATGCAGTTGGTTGATGTTACTAACCTTGTAACCACAAAGTAACATTTCCATATTATAACATTTAACTCTATGGAGATGGTGTGATACCCAATGAGCATAGCTCGTATGGAGAATGATACACAGTGCAACAATAGTTATGATAACTCTCAGCTTATTAACATATATACATATATATAAAAGCTGGTAAGATTTTGTTAAAGATTACAAATATTTTGTATACCAAGAATGCGATTATTTTCTTCAAGTATTTCCAATAAAATTTATTTATTTATAGTAGTTCTTTGCATTCAGACTCTGAATTGTTCAAATGCAAAGTGATTTTCATATTAAGTATAAAAATACTTTTTTTCTACCTTATAGTTTTTAAATTTCATTTGCATAACTTCTTGAACCTTTTAAATGACTAGAATAAGTTTTTAAGGTAAATGTTTATATTTTATTTTCTATTTTCTCTATCGTATCACTAAAGTAATCATAGGATTAAAAGTTTGAATGGAAAGTCCCAAGTATGTACTGCATTTAGTGATGCTACACACACACACACACACACATATTCATATACATATGGTATAATCTTGAATGTACAAACCTATTGTTTCCTCTTTACAAGTTAAAAAGAGAAGTTTAGTACTTGAGGTGTGCTGGTAACGTCTTCTGCTTGACACGGGTTAGGAATTTCATAAGTATTTGAGACAAAACCACAATTTTGTAATATCAGTTTGGACATTGAACTTGGGAAGGAAAAACACTTTTCTAATGAAGGTTAACTGAATGTTTGGACTAAACTTTTAATGTTACTAATAGGGTTGTAATGATACACTTATCTCATGATTCAATATGTATCACGATTCATTTGTCATGAAACAATATTTCAAACCCAAGTTATTTCCAAACATCTAGCTTGTACAACAAAGGTGTATCCTCTATTTTATGCTTTGATGAGTCAGTCATTGTTGACACAGCTTACGGTAATTTGTTTTACATTTTATTGCATAATTTGATATATGGTATTGAAGAGAAATTAGAAACCTTACAGAATTTTCATGCTACATTACTAAAACTAATCTATATTTAGAATGGTTATACAGTACATAGACTTGATCACATACTTGCATAGAAAAGTAAGTTTATAATTTAAAGCATTTGTTTTTATGTAACATAAAAGTACATTCAGAGAAAGAAGAAGAAAAAAACTCAGCTGCAGCACAAATGAACCACGATGAATCATAATTTTGTAGAATCATTACAACCCTAGTTACTAATAGTTAAATATTTGAAAAATGACTGGTGAATATAAAGCTATAGTTTAACTCTGTCTTCCAAACAAGTTTTCATAAAAAAAAGTACAAACCTTACTGTTACTAACTTTGGTGTATGTGCACATATAATGTACATATAAATGAGTCAATATTTATCATATAATTAATCTTAAACATGTATGTATCTATAATATGCTAGTATCTACACAAACCTGAGGTAACTTCCAAAGTATGCAACAATGTTTGAATGTCGGCAATCCTTCATCATCAGAATTTCCTGTTGAATAATGGAGAAGTCATCACCTGCCAGAGAATATAAGAACTTATTACAAGTACAAATATATAAAACTTCACCAGAACATTCATTTATTAATTTATATAGAATCACTGTCTCTTAGTACATTTAAAAAATAACTGAATATAAAAATGCCACTTAATGACCCCATTTTTAATAAAAGTGTGACCAGCATCTTGATATAAAAGACTGTTCAGTGTTGATATTGTTAATTTATTTATTTATTTTGTGAGTTAATATTTTATTACAACCCTCACGCCACAGGGTATAAATAAACAAATCATTTATATATTAATTCTGAATATATAATTTTGTGAGTTATATAGAATATAACTTATTCTGAATATATAA